ACGTTGCATCATGACAATCATAAAACACTAACAAGGTCACAACAATATAACTTTTTAAATTATTAAGATTTTCATTTTATCCATTACAAAGGCAAAAATCAAGAGGAAATAAAACATTTTTTAACACAGCCCATAAGAAACTTTATTGTTATGTTTTTATTCTTCATAAAGTTCCTGTTATATTTTTTTTTATTCTTCGCACCAGCCATCACCTACTTTTCAATATTTGATGGCTCCGTGGCGCAGTTGCCAAATTATCGACTTCAGGGTCCGGGATCGTGGGTTCGACACCAACACGGGACAACTATTTGTGCGACCCACAGATAGTTTTTTCGCACCTGGGTGTTTGACCACGTGAAATTTATGTTTGTAAAACGTCCTTACAACTATGGACTATTATCCATGTTATCCTAACGTAAGGGAATGTTTTTTTAAAAGAAAAAAAAGTATATGACAGGGGTGGAATGGTAGAGAATTCCTCTAATTAATTAATTAAGTGAGCCCATTGCAGCTATACAGGGAGACTTTTTCAAAGGTGCCCAAATTTACACAGGAGGTTCAGACTCGGTAGTATAAACGTTTATTGACATTAAAGCAACTTTATTTTTTTTTTCAAAAAAATTACCATTCTATTCCCTAAAAAACAGAACTTGTTGACAACGCGGTAGTCATTCATGAATATTTTACTGTTCACGAACACAAACGTATTTGTGTGTGTTCGTTATGAATGATCGCGCGTAAAATAAATGAGTTGCATATAAATCACGCACTTTTTGAGATAAGTTCAAATGAATGTAATTATGTAATTACTTACGAGTGATTTCAAATATTTATCATTTTTATATAACAATATTTATGTCTAGAATTTAATTAAAAGAAAATGGATATACTTAGAAAAGCCTCCCTGTATAACATGGGTTGTAAAAATATTTCCTTATTTTACTTTATCATACACCTTTCTGAATATGAGCAAGTGAATAATAAGCATAATCTAGGCCCTGCGTTACTATTTAGAACATTGTCTAAGCCTCATGGACTGAAGCGAAACTTCTCACAACAATAATAAATAATATTTTGCCACTTACCATATTTTATGTTATTTATTAAACGCTAACATTTTAACATCTACAGTTGTACTGAATACTGAATTTTTTTGTGCATAAATATCTTGCATAAATATCATAAATTCTTAGTTCATGGTAAAAATGTCCTAGATGGTGATAGTCAATTTTTTATCAATAAGTGATTCACTAAAGTAGAAAATGGACAATCTATGTTCCACTCACGTAGTCTTTCTGCGTTCGATCGTACACGGTTTTGTTTCGTTGCACGTGCTTCATATCTTTGTGCAAAAGGGAATTATTAATGCCTTCATCGAACAAGTGATCCGGTACCATTTTGATCGGCAACAAATTAATGGAACTTTTCAATACCGAGACACCTCCGAACTGACTTCGATCGCATTAACTTTATGAAATATTCAACTATGAAATGCGTTATCAAGGGGTAAACAATTTATGTAAATTCATTAAAGTCTAAAGTAAACTACGCCGTCGCTTTTTGAATTTTAATGCCCCGGCCTGGGACCGAACTGGTCTTAACGACGCGTACGGTATGATGAAAAATTAATTGTCATCGACGATTAGCCGGCACTTTCCTGTTATTTGAGGTAATTAACTTTAGTATGCACTATACTTTTTAAGACAAATACGTTTATCTAAGAATTAAAAGACACTTAAAATATCTTAGGAATAGAAGAAATTATTTTTTATAGTTACGTAAAACCTGTAATAATAAATATTCGATTTGTACGGGACAGAAAGTTCGTTTGGTTTAATAATATCGCAAAGTAAACAATATTTTAAGATCCTAAAAAAAATAGGTTCTTTCCAGATCAATTAAAACAGTTGATGACGCCAATTCTTAGACACAAGAAAACGGATCAACATCATAGAATAATGATCTTAAAAAGAACAAGTAACAACTCAATAGGAGTATAGATACCTGTTTATATATTATCTATGGTAGGACCACCACCTCGTCCGGAGAAGTACAACTTAACCCATAAAAAAAAACTTACAGAAAACCGGTAGCCCGCTCATTAAAAGGTTGGCAACACTTCTATGTTCATGAGCATCCATATCTTATAATCAATAGTTTTGTGGCAGCAGAGGCAGTCTTCAAGACCATCTTTTAGCCGACCTCACTATTTCTATCCTAGTTGAGTTGGTGAACCTTAGTCCATATTTTTTACCGTGCATGTATAGATATCATCTATTTTTTTTTGTTTGGCACTGGTGATGAAATCTTTAAAAGATGCCCTGACGCTCGGGGAAGACACAGGACACCACGATTTTTACCTACTAACGCTTCTCAGTGGCCACACTCAGTACGTAGGGGGAAGTTCCCGTGCTCTCATCTCAGTGTCCCCTTAAACGATGACCAGGGGACAACTTAGTCCTATTATATGAAAAAGAGACAGCTGGTCTGCGGTATTATTTCGCTAGCTAAGTCAAGTCATAAGTAGGATACATTAAGAAACTAAAGTATGCATGCAATACACATATTATGACTTGTGTGTAATTCATATATCCACTGCCGCTTGACACAACAGAACGAAAAAGCAGTACCATCAGAGAGGAAAGTTCTCCTGCACCAAGACATTAATTGTATGACAAGCATTATTTGGTTTACTGTCTTCTTGAAATCGACTATAATACCGCCGCGATAATAGCCCTTGAGGGCATACTCCACCAACCCGGGCACAGAAACGAAAAATACCACTTGGATAGTAAACGGTCCAGTTTCTGGGCCCAGGTTCTATCTACTACCAGATTCAGCGAACAACTGGGATGATATATGAACACCAAATCATCCCAGTACCTTTCAGCTTAACTGTCGTATCAGATATGTTAGTAACTGGCGATATAAAAGTTAACTGTCATAACAGATATATATTTTTTCCCTACTATGGCTCCACTAATACGTCAGTGATTTTGCCCATAACATGGTACTTGGAGATCGACTAGGCTGAGGACATGACAATATATAACAGATTTATGGCAGGCCTTTTATTTAAAACTAGCTACCCGCCCGGCTTCGCACGGGTGCCATTACACGTAATTATTAACCTTCCTCTTGAATCACTCTATCTAGTAAAAAATTATTACAAAATGACAAATAGTGACATGAATATTTTACGATACTAACGTCACTCAATTGTATTGCCTTCCCGGAACCCCTCCACTAACACTTAAACTTTAGGGTACGGTATTAAAATTCAAATTGACTGTAAGTATTACGAATCCTTTGTATAGGAATATAGAAGTGTTGTTTTTAGACTTTTTCAGGCAATTTTTTAGATATTTCTCTCTGTAAGAACCATTTAATTTTTTTTATATTTTTTTATATTCCTTGAAGTACCTCGTACTTCAAGGAATATAATAAAAAAAAATTAGCGAAATCGGTTCAGCTGTTCTCGAGATTTGCGATTAGCAACAGCAACACATTCAGCGGTTCATTTTTATATACAGCGTGTCTTTACAATCGCGACAATAAATGAACACACATATAGAAGATAACTTTTTAAAATTTTATTAAACATTTACTTTTCTTAAACATCAATATTTACAGTTATAAAATTTTTCAAAACAAAGAATTTTAGAACACGTAAAGTTCATTTGTGAAGGTCACAAAGCATATGAATGGGTTGAATGATGGTTGATGGTTTGAAAGAGACAAAACACAGTGTTAGAAGGAGAGGCGTGTAATGCAACGCTGTGGCAACGAATGAAAAAGTCTCTGAATGTATTAATCAGTCAGTTGTAGTTGTATAGGATGTTATAAATTTTGTTTCTTTCTCTTTTACTTAATTACTTTGTTTGAAAAATATTTTTTTTAATTATGGATTTTTTAAACGTTAATATTTTTTTTTTATGATTATTGGCAAGTAGCGTTATACGTGTGTTCATTTATTGTCGCGATGGTAACGATACGCTGTATAGAGATGGTACATTAACTCTGAATATACCAATAAAAACAAATTGATTTGCTCTGCTGATGCGAAATCGGATCGGGTGGTGATTATAGAATAAATTTCTGGTTTTAAATTTGTAATTATTGTCAATTACTACTGCCCACACTAAAGATTTTGACCTTTTTACATTTGATTAAATCTGAAATATTTGACGAAATGATCATTCAAGTTATATATATACAAATAAAACCTTTATTTCATACTCCATATAACATAAAAATATCACAGGTACTTATTTTTCCTTTATACGCATAGACAGAGAAGTGAACAATAATACAAAAATATAACAATAAGTACATGGATGTTTTGTGTTTGGTGCTTAAAAATATTTTTTTTCTAAAATGAAGTGTTTCAAGAAAATTATGTATGAAAAAGCAATTTCTTACTTTATAACTTTATATAAACATAATTATGTCTTATAAAAGCTTGTATAAAAGGCCATACCTTTTTATTTTTATTATTACTCTAGGTCAAATAAACAATTTAACAAATAAACAATTTAACTTAATAAATCTTATTAAGTTAAATTGTTAAAATAATATTATAAATGTTTTAAATAAACAGTTCCTTAAACATATAAGTACTAAATTTTAAATATATATTTTTACAATATTTTTCACACTTTCATTAATTTTAGTCCATCTGACATGATTCCCAATAGTATCTCTTTTACATAATATTTCCAAATTCACTTATGTGCATTTGAAATGATAATGAACTTGGGTGCTCTAATTACCTAATTTGCAATTTTTAACAAGGTTAGACTGATCCCAAAGGTCATCATGTTAAAAAAATTCCTCATACTTTTTAATTCCATAAAACCAAAATAAAACAAAATAATCAGAAAATTCTACAAAGTGCACTTATGCTTAATTAAATAACAGTATTAATACAATTTTCAGATTTTACACTTTGGTCCTAATATTTAAAGCAACCTTATATTTTGTGAACATGTTTTCTTTTAAGATTTTAGTTTAGCTAACTGTGCCATCAGCTCTTTATCGGCATCTGCAGTAGACGCAATTTTGTTGCGAGACACAGATGGGGCATCAGCCATCTGAAAATACAATGCACAAAATTTATAATCTTATATTGACTGATAGTTCATTAAATATTACAAAAACTTTATAATAAAATACAATGTGTTACACATGTAATATTATAATGTTATACATAAATAATAAAAAAATTTCCGATTGTTGTCTGCACATGGAAGATATTTGAGAAAAACTATTTGGGGCCTTTATGAACGCAGTAGAACCCAAAACAAAGATTGTTAAAATGTTTGATTGTTTGTCTGTGCGTTTGTGCGTTCTAATCTCAGAAAGGGCTTAACCGATTTGAGCAACTTTCTCTAATGCATGGTAGTAAGCTTCACATAACATTTAGAGTTAGTTTTATTTAAATTGGTTCATAAAAAATTGGTTTAAAAAAAATTATCAAATTGAAGAACCAGATTGAAGATTTGGGCGAAAGGAAGAATCAATAAAATGCTATATATATTTTATGGTCTGTAAAATGATGATGATTTTAAGTTTATATGAAGTTAAAAAAATTGACCAAGTACAAATAGGACTCTTACACAAATTTTATATTGTATATAATGTGGTACATGCATGCATGTGGTACGTGCATGATGGAGTCGCAGGTGAAAAGCTAGTACAATACTATAAACATTTCTTTTAATGGACTTTTTATACCAAAACTGCATAACGTGTGCTTAAGCAATATGAGTTCATTTTCAAATTGAGTGTAAACCATTATTACCTTTCCACTTATTTCAATACCAATCTCGTCAAGAACTTGGTTTACAATTCCTTCAGTTTCTTGTTCGTCTCCTGACTCATCCATAATATCATCAAGTGTCTCTGAAACTAAAAGATAATTGGTACATTAGTTTTACTATTTAGATTTACTGCATAAAAATAGAAACAACCCTACATATGTTAATATGAGATTTAAAAAAAAGCAGATACAATATAAATTTTTGCATCAGAATATGAGCTCGAAAATAATGAAAAAGGCAGCTCATATTGTTACTTAGGAATAAAGCTGTTTGGACAACCAGAATAAAGGCAATCTAAAAGGGTAATGTTAGGTAGGAAAAATGAGTATCATCAATAACACTAAATATTTTGTAAGTTTGTTTGTTTTACAGCAGCTGAACAGGTTCAACTTAAATTTGCAACAAAAATAGACTTATATGTACACCCATATCTTTATGGAACTTTTGCATATGGATGTTAATGTCGGGGGATGAATAATTTAATTGAGAACTTACTTAGTTCATCTGTCATATCCATCTTGGCATTAGCCTGTTTGAAGGCTTCCATGTCTTTAGCAATCTGGTGTGGATTCATCACTTTGTTGATATTTCCCATTGTTTTAGCAGTTGTTCCCATTGCTCCAGCTATTGCAATGTTAGCACCCATTGCTTTATTATGTATTTGAACGCTTGATATCTGTGAAATTAATTATTTACAAACCAAAAGTTGGCTAGCGCTGAGTAACTTTGATATAGAACATTTCTCTTGAAGATAATCATGAAAAATAGAATAGGGGAAAAACAAAGCAATAAATACCTTACTATTAGCAGAATATATCCTCGTCTTTTGCTTTCTCAGTTGAACTAACTGTTTAGCAAGAATTTTGCAACCTTCATTGTTTCCCTCTTTTGCATTCTTCTTTATTTCCATTTCCTTTAATAAACATTTAATGGAAGTTATGATAAAATGATAAAGTAGAGAATTTTATTGAACATCAGTCTATATTAGTGTTAAAATTATTGGTAAATATTCCGAACAGTACGTCTCGTTTTTCAAGCTAGAAAAAAATTTTAATCGATAGAGAAATGTTAATAATTAAATATTACATACGTGAAAACCAAGGCAAACACTTACTTTTAATAAAAAAAAATATTCAAAACTTGTTATTTTCACTAAATAAATCCGCCATTTTGTGTTTGACAACATGTATAAATTTAAGAATTCACTCACTTTTCCAAATTATAACCTTCGCATTATTAAAAAAAGAGTCTTTAAAAATACTAAAAGTACTGTTACACTAAAGTTTTCTGGGTGGTCATAAAAAAAAACCTAACATCGAAGGCTTCTAACCTAACCTATCCGAGTCGGATCGCTCTGTGACAGATCTGTGACTCATTTTGAACCTAATATTTGAGACATTATGTGTACCCTAAGTCACAAATTTTAAATATTAGAAATTGTTAATAATACATTTTCATGAAGTAGAAACTTGTGTTTTTGTGATATATCCGTGTATTTGTGTCTTCTTACAACGTAAAAAGTGAAAACGTAAGTTTTTAACTTAAAATAATAGTCTATAATGAATAATGGACGCACAGTAATGACGGATTTCAGTTGTATGAAATTTAAAAACTTTGTTAATTTTTTCCTCATAATCTAGTGGTTTTCATTGATTATAACTTATATAATATTTAATTATTAACATTTCTCTATCGATTAAAATTTTTTTCTAGCTTGAAAAACGAGACGTACTATTCGGAATATTAGCCAAATTATTTTGTTCAAATTAATCCCATCCTCATGAAATGAACTTTGAGATAACATCTTGTATTAATTGATGTTTGTGCTTTCAGTCCCAAGACTATTAAAGCTTCATCTGACGCAGAACCGGTGGGCTAGCCAGAACCCACGGGTTTGGGCCCTCCGAGGTAACACAATTATATAATCAAGTCAGTTTATAATATATCTATATAATTACTTTGTATTCTAAGGCTCGTTTATATATAATATAACTATATAATAATTACTTTGTTTTACTTACCAATTTTTTTTCTTCTCTTTCTAGAGCCACTTTGTCCCTCTCTAAATCTCTGCCAGCTTTACGAAGTTCTCGATCATTTTGCCTTTGTTGTTCTAAGGTAAGTATTAAATCGTGAAGATATAATCTTAAAATTCTACATTCAAGAAAATAAAGTAAGTAGTAATGTTACTAACCTTTTACAGTAGGAGCCTTTTTAAAGAAATTCATATTGCCCCTTAACTTTAAGTAAGATCTTCAAATTGCTTAGACTTATCAGTCAATCATGAGCTTAATCAAAGCCAAACAATAACAATATTCAACTTGTTTATTATTTAATGCTCATAATAACAATAATTTTACGTCTAATACAAATAATGAGTAATGAACAGTAATGAATAACAGATAACTTGACAACTTGTAAATGATAGGCATGGGCAAAAAATATGTATATATAAAAATATCGCTATTGTTCCAAACAATTATCGATATATTCCGCCGATATTTTTTTCGCGAGATATCGATATTTGATATTTATATTAAAGTATCAATTATTACTATTATTATTTACAAGGTGATCTTATCGAAATTATTAGACAATTTAAAAATACCGGTCTCATTTTAAATAATTCCAAATGTAAAATGAAAATTATTTATTTTTCCGACTCTTTTTCTTTTTAATCTAAAATTTAAGCTCTATCATACTCTTAGGCGGTCTTTTGTTGATACTAAGTTTGGAACCTCATTTAAAATTAAAGTTAAATCAATTTTTAGATCATGTTAACAAATTGATTTTACTAAATTCGCATATTGCGCTTGCTATATTGCGACATTGTATTCTTGTACCTAAATTTACGTATATCCTTCGAGTCCAGTTTCCATCTTATATCAGCTCTAGGAAAAATTCTAAATTTATCTCTTAATCATCGTTATGGTTAACCTTAAAAAATCTTTTCAACTATTTTCTTCATATCTGTTTTTTTTTTACGAATTTTGAATCGTTTATAAATATGTATGAATAATCATGCGAAAACTGACGATATATCGATATTTTTTACTCGATAGTTTTTCACAATGTCAACACGATAAATTTCGATATACTTTTTTTACTTGCCCAACCCTACTTGTAAATCCTGCAAATTATCATTAAAAAAATAAAAAAGCATTGGAATGGAAACGTCATCTATGTGATTTATGTCAGTCAGTACTAGAGATGGGTCATATCGCTTTTTCTGAGAACCGTATCTGAATCAGATTTCGATTTCAAATATCAGATTTCGAAACTATGTATGTTAATACCTATCAAGATATTTTACGTTCGCGTATCCACCTTAAATTCATAAAAAAAAGTTAGTGAGAATATTTTTATTAATTAATAACATTCAATATTATAGTTTAGGGCGGAAGAATTTTAAATATACACACAAGACATAAGCCTTGACCTGACGTCCATAAATGCAGCACGAAATTATTAAATTATATTTTTCTTTTTCGTTTTGTATAGTTTTTTTTTTTTTTCAAAAATGCGTATAAAATTTAACTCCTAAAAATTTTTCTTCCATTTAGGAAGAAAATTCTTAATTTGGCATCCCTTACTATTACGTGGTTAAGTATCAATGCACTCCAGGTCAAGGCTAAATAAAATTTAAAGACATCGTTAATACCATGATTCGTATTTAAATGAAACAGAGTTTTTTTCATGCTTTTAAAACTCAAAATTGCTTAACTTATAAATAAAATCTGTTTGAAAATCTGATATTATGCATTGTTTGCCGTACCCCTCTAACTAGTGTAATATTTGTATCACGCGCTTCGTCGCTCACAACGGCTCATGGCTAATGCTAAATAAAAGAATTAAAAGATAATATCTTTACGATAATTTGATATTATCGTAATACGATATTATCGTAATCTTTGATACCATCCTTAGTATTTAAATGAAACGGATCTTATTTGCATGGTGTTAAGATTCAAAATTACTTAACTTATTCATAAAATCTGTTTAAAAATCTGATATTGTTGCCGTACTGCTCTAACTAGTGAATATTTGTATCACACGCGCTTTGTCTAAAAATCTGATATTGTGGCAATAATTTAAATGAAATGGATCTTATTTGCAAGATTCAAAATTGCTTAACTTATTCATAAAATCTGTTTAAAAATCTGATATTGTGGTAAACGCGTATGATATCGCGATTCGTGTTGGTATAGCGAGTGAGCGAGTATTCGGTACATCAGATTTCGGAAATATCAGATATTGTAAAATACATAGATTTTGAACGAGCCAGTAAGCGATTTTCAGATATTGTACCAATATATAGTTTTCGTATCTGTATACGATTTGTATCGCCCTATAGTCAGTACTCAGTAAACCAAGTCAAAAGAAATAAACGATTTTGGTTCAATAAAACTATTTTACTGATTTCTAGTTTTAGTCGCAGTTTAGGTCTTATACACATAGTATAAGTTCCTGTAACTCGGGGTTTCAACGTTGCCACGATCACAGATTTTTTTTTATATGAGAAGGTGGCAAGAAAGCTAGTGGTCTGCATGGACATTTGCAACACCCGTAGAGCTACCTCTCTCACCAAACGAAACGCAGAAGTATAACACTTCCACTTCAAGCGCGTCTTATGTGGGTTCGTGGTACTTCCCCGGACCCCTGCCACAGAAGAAGTATACCCGGTGCGATAAAAATAACGATCGTCGCACAAATTAAATCCTCGTTAATTATTTAAATTCTCAAATGAAAAAGCTCAAAAATAATCTTACACTTCTAAAATTCTGACGAAACCAACATGGAATCCATTATAATTATGATATAGGATGTAATAACAATTGCAGTGCCATTTAGATATTCCTTTCATAATGGAGTAACCGACCAACTCCCAATGGAATCAAATGAAATTTACTGAGTATAAAACAGTGAGAACTTATGGATTTCAGGTTTATTGTATTATAATACGTAATGATTGTTAATATGTCTATTATATGACCACAATTGGCAGACTTCTTCATCCATCGGTTCTTAACTCTGCTATTTATTGATCTTTTAGTTTGTCATATATAGAGATATTTTTAAAGAGATTGATATAGTCACTGTTGCTTCTCAATACATTTATTGTAATGTTTTGTATATTCGTCATAACCTTAATTTTTACCTAAAGAATAGTGACAGACATAAATTAAACAGTAGAAATAAGGACAAACTTACTACGCCATTGTTTCGCCTAGCAAAAGTAAATAGGTCGTTCATGAGGCAAAGTGTACGCATGTATAATAAAATCCCACAGTCGATATTAAGTCTGCCGCTTGATCAATTTAAAAGTAAAATCAAAAGTCAACTTATGGTTAAAGCATATTAAACTATTGCGGAATATTCGACAACGCCAATGTGTGGAGTTAATACTGTTGATACTCACGTAGGGTAGAATAAGAATATTATACCGGTATTTTATATTGTAAACGGACATTTTTGAAAAAGAGCAACAGTTGAGTTTCTTGCCGGTGTCTTCCTAACAGAAACTGCTTTCCGAACCTATATGTATATCTTTTTATGTAAAATTTGACGATTCATAAGAACGCGCAAGCGTATATTTGAATAAAGATTTTTGATTGATTGATTGATTGCATTATGGAATAGAACAACGGAACCCAAGGTGGGCAGCATTTGGCTGACTTTATGGAGGAGGGACTTTTCATGGTGTACTCTTTCTTCAAAAAACAGCCCCACAAAAAGTGGACCTGGATTAGCCCTGACGGTTCTATTAAATTTGATGAATTACGAGATTGCCTTCCTTCTAAGGAACACACGGAAAATATTCAGTAATGTCTCCGTGATCCCGAGGATGAAGACCGGCGGCAGTGATCACCATTAGGTTAGTCTTAATATGAAGCTTGAAAGATCTCGTCTGATGAAATTCTAACTCCATCCATCTTGTGCTTATTTCCAAAATCCGGAAAGCTTTCAGCTCGAACTACATAATCGCTTCCAATGCCTGGATAATTGCAGCACGGTGGAGGATATCAACCCAAAGCACGAGAACCCTAAGCAGCAGTTTCCACGAGGAAACTGTCCATGCTGTAGGTAATAAGTTTTATAAAACAAGACGTGAAATGTGGCTGCAGTCTTTAACTGACATGCACTAGATGGAGTGATGACCTGTGCAAATGCGTGGCAAATCGATGAATGCAGGTTACTCAGGGTCGTGCTTCGTGGCAGACTTTGGGAAGGCCTATGTTTAGCAGTGGAATCTAAAAGGTTAAAGTGATGATGAATGATGAAGCATACCTTCTAATCAAAGACAATGTAGTATGGATTAGGAGTAGAGAGTAGGAGCTTTCGAGGTGCCAAGATTAAGACTGACTGAAAAGAAAAATCATGTGTACAACACTCAAATTTTGGAAAGTAGTGAAAACAACACCAAGTGAAAATATCTATCTGTATATATGTATGAGATCGAGGACCAAAAAGAGTAAAACAAGGGTAAAGTTGTGTTTTACTCTTTTAAATCAAGGGTAAAGTTGTGTTTTACTCTTTTAACTCTCTGAAAATCGGACAATCTTCGTATTACAGTATGGTAAAGTATTATAGTCAGCATTGCATCATTTTGCATAATAAATATCATTAACGATATTATCGGTTGATGTACTGGCAAGAAATTTGAATAATGAAAAGGGTTAAATAATTGCACATATTAGTTTTTAATGTTATTTTATTTCGAGAACGCAATCGATCTGTCACTATTTATATTTAAGTCACTTCATCCTTATTACATTCCAGAATAAATAAAATTTTAAATATTAAACAAAATATTTAAGTAGACGAGAAACAGACATAAAGTACAGATACTTTTACAACAAAATAGATCTATATAACATAAACATGTTTTTTAATGATGTCATATACAGGCACAACAGTAAAAAGCCAAAAAATTAATAAGCCCTGTACGAATAATGTTTACATCGAATATGTTGATGACGTTAAGTAATTGGAAATGGGGTTAATGAATGTTGACGTTACACAATTTTTAAGTTGTAGTATTAATATACTTATTTAGATGTGCAATATTTTTAGAACATTTCATTTAAGTAATAGATAGATTTATCGGAAATGGATAAAAAATAATGACAAACTTGAAAACATGATGTTATAGCTATCACTGAACAAAGGGACGCAATGGACGAATTTTTAAAGTCTCTGTTTAAGTAAATTTGACCCAATTATAAAATGAATTATAAATATGTTTATTATTAATGGAAACATATTCTGAGATTCACCAGGACCACTTGGGTTTAAATGGACCGAACGCCCATTTGTCGGGAAGACCGGCGTGTATGTTGTCCTTGAATGGGCTTTCGGACCACTGGAACGGTTTGAGGGTGTCTTTGCTAAGAATATCCAGCGATTCCTGTTCGGCCTGCTGTTTAACGAGGTCTCTTATCTGTAGTCCGTTTATCGTTGGTTCGTCGTCAAACTGGTCGGTGTAAACGGAGGCTACATTTCCCTTATTAAGCGGTGTCTGCGTTTGGTTCAGCCGCGGTGTTTCCGTGAACGGTGGACTGGATATAGCGACAAGTTCCAAGTCGTCGCTGTCTATTGTACCTGTAAATAAAATTCGAATATAATTAATTTTTATCAGTATGGCTAACGTACAAATTCAAAAGAAGAGTTTTTTTAACCACGTGAAAATAAAAACATGAAGATAAACAATGCCGAGTAAAAAAAAGAGTCGATTTTTAAATCAAATGCAATTCGATTAAGTAAATTTAAGAAATCGTAATCACATAAATGAGCTTATTAAAATAGTGAGAACGTGAAATACATGAAATATTTTTCTATTAAAACATTTTTAATGTGCTAATCTCTGCATTTAAGATGAAACAATAAAATTTATAGAAAGATAGACGAAAAGTTTTTCCCCTACTTAACACTAAGCTTACACTAAGCTAAACCGTTTAGCTACACCAGTTCGATTCCCGCGGCGGCGATCAGGTTTTAGTTCGTTTTCCTACCAATTTTAACGAATGATAATCAATGGAAATTCTCACCGTAAACAACCTTCGTGTCAATAACTCCGTACGGCTGTTGATGCTGCTTCACCACATCGCCTCTAACCCCCGGAACGGACCAAAGATCCGCCTCGCTTAGCACGCAGTCGAAGTCCTGAGCGCAATCCGCCAAGTTCGTTTCGTTCCCTCTGTTTATGGCGGTCAAGTTGTTCATGCGCATCAGTTCGATGATGCTCTCGAGGGAGGTGGCGTTCTTGTAGCCGCGCTTGAATGTTATAGCGCGCTGCGATTCGGACTCCGAGAACACCTTCCCGTAAAGCGCCTCCATTTTCGTCACGTGCGTTATCTCCGCCACGTCCTGTGGGCGGGAAAATTTAAAAACGTCTAGTGAAGTGTTTGCATGTAGTAAGGCCAAGTAGCCTTAACCTTTTACTGTTGCAAAAATGGGCAGACTTGTCCGTTGAAGTACCACTTCCTTATAGAAGACCAACGTGAGGTGGAAATAACTTTCGCGTTTCGTCTGGTGAGTGAGGTAGTCGTGGCTAGCTTTTTTGAAAGTTTGGCAATGCACCTACGTCCCGTGTGGTTGTGTACACGCATATTGGGCGATAATCGGTTAACATCAGGTAAACGACTTGCTCGCTTGCAAATTTTGCAAATAAAAAGGCGTACATAATAACAATATATTGATTACCAGTATTCGTTTGATAACATGCGATAGTAAATTAGGTTTTGATCGTTTTGACATCGTGTCGTGTGCATACTACGTAGTTGACGTCGATAATTAGCGCGGTCCACTTTACGAAGAGCTCGTTACGTCCCAAACAATACTGGCGTGAAATATTGATTTTTAAACAGAAACTGCTTGGTGTATATCACTCCGCTAGCGCCCTTAGATCCAGAGAGGAATGCGTGATTTAGGTCAATATGACTGCTCCCATTAAAAATAAGGTACAGCCTGTATTTGTCCGAATACTAAATTATTTATCCTCTCTTTAAAACAAGTAATGAATGCACACACCATGACAGAAACCCATAGTGTACTGGGCGATACTTCGAAAAAGCCAATCTTTGAAAATCTTAGATGCTCACGCACGCACGAAATCAAAGATCGTATAGCTTTCACCACTAAGAACAATCAGAGAATTGACAAAGAGTAGTAAGCCAGTGAGAAATATAGCAAAAATTAAACTCATGCCGGCACGGGGATTTTAATTAAAGATACTCTATTGCTGTACAGTTGAGCGAGCAACCTGGCTAATGGCTTTTGCTAACAAGTTCAAACCTCCGTTAGGTGACGTCATCGGTGACGTATAGGACGCGGTCACTGACCTTGAAGAAGGGCAGCCCGTAGGTGTGCCAGTGGTGCGTGTCGAGCAGGGCGGCAGTGATGTCCGCCGACTGAGTCCGCGACGCCACTTGCTCCAGGAGCCACACGGCGCCCTTGGCCCGCCCCCCGCCGCTACGGTGGATGATGGTGTGCTTCACGTCCCTGAGGGGTTTCCTTACCAAATGAGCCTTTTGAAAATTGCACCGCGACAGCTGAACGACTGCTTCTACTGTACGAGCGCCTTTTCAGGGCAAGTACGAGTTTCACAGAAGACAGGCGTAAAGTGGAAATCTATACGTATATCTATTAATAGAGTTACGTAAAACAAGATCCACTTGAGAGAAGATAACAATTTAGAAAGATTTGCAACAATTTCACGTTGCGAGTATCCGTAGACAGATAGTTACCTCTTATTAAGCTTACAGCTCTAGAGGTACAGATGCGTTTTCACCTTTTAATAAAGTGGGCCCCGGCTGTCTCACTCACCAGACGAAATGCAGAAGCATAGGTCGTCGTACTTCCCTGGACGGACCTGCCAGTTGTGCAACAGCGAACTGAGCCCTACCACTGTTAAATCTATTAGGTAATGAGAATCTAGCGAAAAATAATACAATATTAAAAATAGCATATACACAAACATGTAACAGCTGCGAAACGAAGCTTTAAACATGGGCGATGTGTCACGCGGAAAATCACCCGTTTTATAGTGATTTATCGATGCGACGCAATGTTTGATTGAATGACGCATCTCGTTTTGCTTTTTAATAGTTATGAAACTATGTGCCTTTGATATTTTATTCTTCATTATTGTATGTACATATCTAAATTTGGTTTTGCTTTTGATTTAAAACATTATCCACAATGTTGAACACAAAATTCACAGATTGAACGTTGGCATTGGCGGCCGTAGCCTATTAAGTCGTCATTTACATATCAAAATCCAACGGGCACAGACGAAAACCATAGACAGACATGTTCTCACTTGTTTACAGTTATCTCGGTGACGACCTCCTTCTTGTCGCTTCTAGGGACGCCCTCGTGGGCGTGGAGGCGCTGGAACTGTTTGAAGTCGACGACCAGCCACTGCTTGCTCGCCGTTCCCGAGTTGCTCGCCGCCAGAGTGCGCCCCCACGCGCTCACGTTAGGTGACAACTTGTTCGCGGCAGACACACGCGGCCCAACGGGCAGCTGAAAGTATAATGTCACTAATCAGCGAGCCGTGATAGCTCATTGTCCTCGCTTTTAACTCAATATATTCAATATACTCAATAAGGAAAACATTGTGAGGAAAACTGCATATCTTCGAAATAACAAAAAAACGAATATTTCGAAGATTCAAACATGTTCCGTCCGCCAATCCTCAGGGAGCCGCGTGGTGGATGCCCTAATACCATCTGTACAGAGGAAGTCTTTGCCCTGCAGTGGGACATATATAGGCTGTTATTTTTTTTTTAATCAGCAGGCTAGGAATCCGTTCACGCGATAATGAGTGATTACCGCAGCTCGCCATGCGTCTCTACTACTCGTTTAAGAGCCCTGGTACCTCACTCACCATACATAACATAAGCACAAAATTTAGGTTTACGACAGTTTTCTATGTAAAAGCCCTGGGCTTCGAATTTCTCCTCAAGAGCCTGCTTCGTGCAACAGCAGTTTAACGACTCTACCACAGTAGAGTCCGATAGCATTTCGAATTCCGATGGATTAAATATAATATACTTCAATTAAATAATTAAATATTTTATTTCAAAAGTAAGAGGTAGACGTAAAACTTAGATTTCACAGTTGATCCAAATAGGGCTGTTGAAATTAAAAAATCTGTACATCCAGCACCGATTTGCACCGTGTTGGCATATGTTGGCCTAATTTCCCTTTAGGAACTTACCTGCTCTGTGATGTTGACACTTTTCCATAGTTTTCTGTTGTAGTTTTTCAGGGTTGTTCCAGTTATCGCCATCCTGTGGTTGTCTCCTTTGATCAGGTAAAACTCGTCCTGGCTGGTTACAGAGCCGGGGTAGCCCGAGAACTCGATCGACACCCCAGGTGCTAAGGTGTCGTCGTTCTGTGACTTGCGGTAGTTAAGTTTGTACTTCTTCAATATTCGGGTCATTGATGAATAACTGAAATGGAAAACAGTTGATTTATTCTTTCTAATATGGATAGTTCGCTATATCCATAAAAACTATGTTTCTATTTAAGATAGCAATATGACCGTTTTGTAAGGTATATGTACACAGTTAAAATAATCTTAATACGTATTAAATTAATTAATAAAATCCGTAAACTACTTTCATTTAATATGTATAATATTCGCGTAAAATCAAGACGTCAATGTTAATACGATTATTTAATTGCGGTACATAATTTAAGAGTATATACTTGTATTTTTGAATACCTTCACATAATATGTCTTCAATTGCTCAAGTCATTAAGGAGTTAATGATTTCTTACATTTAGGAATCTACACATAATATTTTTTACGCGCTTTGTTTTCGTTTTAGTCACCCGATGTTTCAAATACATTCATATTCATAGAAGAGCTTGAGGTGTTAACGTCTTGATGTTAATCAGCTACCATTAGGTCCGTGGCAGGACCGTCAGGTAAATTTTTATGTAACAAAAGAATATATAGCGATAAAAAATGTATAACCAATAAAATTATATGTATATATCATTCTATTGGGTATATATAAATAAATTGTTAAAATAATTATAACGCCCTTGAAATTCTAAATCTAATTCTATTGACATTCGTGTTGGTGGTTTCCACAGATAAATGATAACACACGATCCCCAGCTGGTATTTTTAAATCAGTATTCGTTTTTAATTGGCGAAAATTTTTACTTGTGTCTGGTGTGAGAGGTCTGGTAGCAAAAAGTCAGTTCAGATAACTTGTCTCTACCTCTGACCACTCCATAACAATAAACTGTTGTGACAACGTATTTATTACAAGAAATAACGTATCGTATCACAGCAAATGTGTATCAAATAAGGCATATCTCTGTTTACAAACAAACTTGTCAACGCGGCCATAGTTAACAATGGAAACTGCCGGTACTATACGCTGAAGAGCGTTTGTTTGTAAATCTTTCAATCTTCGCTCCCTTCATTGCAATGAAAAATGGTTTTAGAAGCTAAGCTGTATTGATGAGGAAGTGGAAAGACAAACATTGAGAATTTAGAGTCACACAGAACCTTTAAATGGTACTTGAACGGCCCATCTTGAGCTGGGAAGTATTATGGATCTATAGAAGACGGAACGTATTTATCGTTTTCTCACTTAAAAGATTTGCACTGCCTTGGTGTTGTTTTCGGGCAGTCTTAATCATTAAGGTTTAGGTAATGCACGTTACCATGCCGAAAAATATTCAGATACATCGATTACAGACGAGTTCGATTTCCACGCGGAACAAGGATTTGTATGACCGTACATAATTTTTCCGGATTTAATTGTTTTTCCCAAATGGGGTTGACGTCAGGTATACCGCTGATCGTAAAAAACCTAACCAATACCATTACCAACAGTATGGCATAAGAAAGAAGAAAAAATAAGGTACCTTCCAGCTACATTGTGAGCGAGGAATATCTTCTTTGTCGCCGTTCCGTCCTCCGAAGTTGTGTTGGTGATCCTCAAGAAGGCGCTCGACAGACCTGGCAACTTGTCTATTGCCGGGTCGTCGATAGTGATGTTCATCTTCCTCTGCAACTCCACCACGTCCGCGATGGAGTTCAACCAGTAAAGGTCTGATATGTCGGTCTCCAAGTTCGTGTTCCGCTCGGTACCGTGCTTCCAGCCGGTGTACATGCCGCTGATTTGCGTGTAGTATAAAGATACCTGGAGACGAAATGAAGAATTAGTCATGACCAGCTAGGACCTTTAGATGAAGGCCTGCAAGCCATTTGCAAGCCTTCCGGTGTTGCAGATGAATGAATGAATATACTTTATTGCACACAAAAAATAAAACAAACGAAAATTAAAAACATATTCATGGGCCGCGGTGATCACTTACCATCAGGTGAGCCTCCTGCTCGATTGACCCTTTTTCCATTAAAAAAAGCGGCAATATGTAGACAACTTTTAAATGAATGAGGTAGCATTGAGACACAAGAGAGATGACAGCCGCCACTCGAAAGTGGGATTTATATTTACTTACGTGTACGTGTATGTTTTTATGTATCATTAAATCCGAAAGTAGGTTTTATGTCTACTTACATGTACTTTTTTATTTTATGTATCAATAAACGAATTTATCTACATCATTACACATGATATTTCTTGGAGTTATATTAGTGACACCAAAAAAAGTAAAGTAAAATTTGTCCCACTGTTGGGCATATGCCTCCTCTGTATTGGAGGGTATTAAGGCATAGTTTACCACGCGAGCCCTCTGTGGATTAGTAGACTTCACATGTCTTCGAAGAATTTTTTATTCATATTTTTTTAATTTATTTAGTTAATGTTTCGTATTTGTCAGCAATTTGTACCATATTATTCGCTTTCAAGTCAAGTTTCGCGAATGATGAGTTGTAAAAATATAATTTTAATTCTTTAACACTACATAATATTTATAGAAGCTATAGTTCTTACTGAGAACAAATAAAATAGACTTATTTATAGAGTCGAGGTTGTTCGTATTGTAGGAAGCGGTAATGTTAGAAAGGTAAAGTTACACGATAAATAGTAGTTAAGTACACAAGTAATAGTCGTACATTATACACAAGATAAATATACAAAATCAGTAGTAGCGACATGCAAAACAAAAGCAATAATAAACACGTACAGAGACTGAAAAACACTTATTAGGGTTTTCGAAAAGCATTATGCTCTTAACCAAAACTTCGTCTAATTTCAATGAACTGTTGATTTTGCCAGTGAACTTTAAACAGCTGTCACTTATAGTTTGGAGTATCAGACACTCCCACGTCCTTTCACCGGAAGGAGAGGGTCCATGTTGTCGTTATTTAAAAAAAAACACATTTTGTAATTAACACGTACATCTGAACCCGTGTCTTTGAGCATGGCTGCTTCAACATTGAGAACTAAAAATTTAAATTATAAAAAATTATAAAAAATTTAAACCATAAAAAATATTCTGATATACCGAGAAAAAAGGAAGGAAAGGCGAAGCTTTCGATAAATTACTACTTATACTTTACTAGCGACCCGCCCCGGCTTCGCACGGTTGCAATGTATTGAATCACTCTATCTAGTAAAAAAATACTGCATCAAGATCCGTTGCGTAGTTTTAAAGATTTAAGCATACATAGGGACAGACAGACAGCTGGACGACTTTGCTTTATACTATGTAGTGATAGTGATACGTAATACTAAATCATAATGGCAGATTTTTAGCATATCAACAAAATTAAGAGTAATTACATGGTGCCAGAAGGGGTCATCCGCTTCCCGCTCGGCCGCATAACTTTTCCAGATGTTGAAGGACTTGTCCAACTCGTCTCGCAACTTGTCGCACTGCTTCTTGGCGGGCTGGCCTTCGCATCTCGCTCTAATAGTGTTGTCTAGATGCGTGTGTATCAGATACGACGTCAGCGCACCTTCCACTATGCCTGCCGCGTACGCTTGTATGTCGTCTCTATACGAGCCGTCAGTTTCCACTTCCAGGAGGGACCAGCTACGAAAATAAGCAGTTTGTGACATTTGTGCATCGACTATTCCATTGAAAAGTTTTCACCACCCTTTTTATGAACTTTATACATCTTACAAACATCTAATAATGTATAGTGGATGTTACGTGCACTTTCCACAAAGTATATTAATACAATATAAATGAATGAAACAAAGCCTTTCACTGCTTGATAATAAGGTTTGAAAACCGATCAATTGCAGAGTTAAAATAACGGTAGAATTTAATAAACATCGTGCTAATTACATTTTCGTGTAAACCATATATTAGTCTAATGTAATAAACTGACACTAATTAAAAATTAAAAAAATGATGTGGTGTCGTGGGACACCAGGTAGGAACGAAGTTCCTTCGGCTAATGTAGAATCGACACAAATTGCAAAAAAAATCGTGTTCAATTTTATGTAGGTTTTCTTGATTTTTCTCTTAAATTTTGCTGATTAGTTTTTATTTAAGTACAAGAAAGTATTTAAGAAATTCAGTATTTTAGGAAATAATAAACTACTTAAAATAAAAAAACATCGTAATTCAAATTATCAACTAAAATAACAAAATTGACAACATAAAATTATGCGACTGTCGCGCCTGCGCACGTCTCATTTAACGGTTTTATTCCACGCACTTTTTCTTACGGTTTTATTATCACATTTTTTTCAGTTCGGTCGCGCAGCAAAATCCCTATCCCCTCCAAGCCTGCCGTAAGGAACTTCGTTCCAATTAATAACGAATTTTCCGTACTTACTTCGGTATACACGTCTTACTTTGCTTTTTCCGACATAAATGGTTATAGCAATATGTACCTACCCCGTTGTCTCGATATCCATTCGGAAGTAGCCACGCGCCACACCCTTAGGCAGGTCTGCCAAGTCGTTACTTTGACCCCAGTACTCAATACGGTATCCAGTTTTCTCCGAGTAGAAGACCGTCGCGGCGTAGTTTCCATCCTCCTGTATTCTGCCGAATGAAAGCACGGAACCTTAGCATCAAATTAACTCGTGATCCGTTTTCGACAAGAGTGAAATACCGACGGTATTTCTATTTGAATACGTTTTACGTGTTAAATCTATAAGAGCGTTTTAAAAGCTCACACCGTTGGATAAACAAACATTTCAAAACGGCAAAACACTACATTTATAAAGATATCACATAAGAAATTGTATATGAAACAAGAACACTATTGCATATTTTAAATTCAAGGTCAAGAAAAGTAATAAAAGTCGTTAACAAGTTTAAGAATGAATGATATAAACCGTTGTAGTCTTTATGTACTTTAATAAAAATATACTTATATCAAATGTCTTTACAATTTTACCTATACAAGAGCGGAAAAGTAATCGTTTTAAATGAATCACGACGCAGAAATCAAATACAGTTACCTAATACAATAAATGATTATCTAATGTTATCTAATAAACGCTTACCTCTCCATTTGTCCAGCGAAGAGTGCCAATATAGCAAGAACACCGAGGAATCCCAATATGTATGAACTTATTTTCGTCTGCAGCCAAGAGGCGCCGACTACTTTAAGCATTTTGCTCATTTTCCTGTTCTCAGTAAGTTCAGTGCAGAAATAAATAAATAAATAAGATAGAGTTATAAGATGAAGAAGATGTTGAGGAACTTAATAACAATGAAGTGACAGTGCGTGTAGACTATTTTCTCCAGTGGGTAAGCAACCATCAAACTGGTGCTTTGGTGGCCAGTGTTTACGGTTCTGCCGACGTTTCTCCGACAGCTGGGCTCGGAGACAGCATTGGGCGCTACAGCTGTTTAGAAGTTGTCACACCTAATTGTGGATATGTCCTTTCTTTTAACCCTAAAACAAAAAAAAAAACTATGTAAGCACTTTTCTGCGAATTAGCGTATCAAAATATTATATTAGAGAACTCAGCCAAGTAATAATACATCACGTAAATGTGATACAAAGACGAGTTGTCTATTTTGTACAAATGGTCTGTTTTGTACCCAAAAATCTTTGAGAACAACGTATGAAATCGGGCCGGGTTTATCGAAGATGTCCTAGAAGAGTCAGATATAACTTTTAAAATACTAATATAACTTACCTATGCTTTTTAATAATTTTGTTAGCTAAGATCAAATTAAAATAATGTATATTACCGATAAAAGCAAATATTTATTTTAATGAATAATGTAACTGCTATGACCGATCAAAAACTTGTTATCAACTCTTTGTTAATCTTGAGAGTAATCTAGAGAGTAGTCTCATGGGATGGTTTTATCCGCTTTTATTGTATGTACAATATCAAAAACACGAAATAAGTGAACTATAAATTCGTGAACCTCTACTTTATTGGCTTACCTATTAGAAGTAGGGCAGTCGATGCGTCAGTCAGTCTTTCAATATCACAGCGCGGTATCACCAGTTTATATTAACAGCATACACAATAATTTCGCAAAAAAAATTATTGCAATGGTTTATTCGCGGGTTGGTAATTACGACTAACAGGTGAATCCGAAGAAGCCTGATCAGGCACCGCTATCACTATATCAATAAGATACCCGCCTACTTGTACAAACATCGTGATCTTACACACAAATAACGTGTCAAACTGAATCAACACACAAACTAATTCCTCGTAGACTTAGAGAAAGATCAAAAAAGTAAATAAAAACTCACCTCCATTCTATATACGCGTAATAAATATTGACAGTTAAAATCTTGAACTCAAACGCATGCAACGAAGGAAATTATTGGTACGAAGGAACATCACTACGCTGAAAGTAATGCGGCGACTGGTGTTGGCGTAAAGTTAATTTGCAACAACGAGCCTGAACCACGATGGAACCGAACTTGAAATTATACACTCGTACCTACAGCCTTACACGTGGATGTTGTAGACAATCGCCTATGAGTAACTATCCCCTGTATTTGCTCACTCGATACATATACAAAGCGAAACTGATTGCGCGAACTATCCGAACCGCTATTTAAGCAGTGCAAACTATATTAAATGTACAATGTGTCTTACAATAAAATCTTCCTACGTACGAATATTACATAAATCATTTAAATTCCATGTTACCTAAAGGGTTAAATGAATGTATACCGGGGTATAATATTAGGAACAGCGTCATTCCTAAAATAGCCTTTGCACGTTAAATTCTACGTAACCATTCACACTCTATGTAAAATATTATATAAATAGAATGTTCACAATATTTCTTCTAATTACCCGAAAACACATTCCTAAATGAATTTACTTTAATACATCATCATGACCTATTTCACGAAATATTTTTTTAAATAGCAAGTATGTTATGACTCCACAAAAATAACGCCCCTTATACTGTGGAAACTAAATAAAATTCATATAAACGAAACGCAATCACATAAAACTATCTTAAAAAAATTAAGAGGATATAACAATAAGCACATGTGCTATGTCGAGAGTATAAATGTATTCTATGAGAAATACATTTATCCTTAAGGTTGGCAGTGGTCACTTACCATTATGTCTAATGTTTTCGGCCCAATATTGACGCGACATTTCCGCCGGGCCGTTTTGGTGCAATTTTGGCAACAGTCGTTCGATTAACTTTTCCTGAGATCGTGGTGCATAGGTATGCAATACGTATATTATCTTTTTGCTCGTGTAAAATTGAAAATAAAACTTATACTAGCTAATACCCGCGATTTGGTCTACAATGCTTATTATATTAACCGCTTAGCCACTTGTTTAATAAGAGAGATAATAAAAACCACATTATATTAAGATATCACAATTTCTTTTAGATAAGGGCTAAGGGTTTAAGAAATAAAATTAACTAGATGCGCGCACAACGGCACATCTCTATCAGTTTATTTATATAGTAGACAAACATAAAAGTTTTATTTAGGGGTAACATTATGAAAATTACATAGAGAAATAGGAAGAAACAGAGGAGCTATAAGTAAATTAATTAGAACAAGGGTCATATTCATACTTCAGTCTTATTTTTAGGACCGCCATGACTGTTGTTTTACACATAAGTTGTTCGAGTTAAGCACTTAGTACGCCAACCTAAATCTCAGATTATTTCTCCATCTTATTGATAATGGGTGGGTTGAAAGCATTAAGAACAAAAACACAACATATAGATTATATGCTATAAGTTATACATAGTGCCGGCACAAACTACATATATTTCTGAAACGCCTTATTCCTTATATTGGCATATTCCTGTAAGCTTTATTACGGGTATCATCATAATTGCTATATAAATACTGCAATTATTATTCTTTTTATTGGAATGAACCTGACTTGACTGGTTTTATTATTCATAATTAATGTTAAATTTTTAAAATGAATTACGGATTCAGTTTCGGCTGAAAATCCTTTTTCTATCGGATACCAGTTTTTACCTAATTAATAATATTTAATCTTCAAAGAATTTAAAGGTTGTCTCGAAAAAATTACCTATTGCAATAAGAAGCTACTTCTTACTCTATACTCCTTAATTGTTATTTCGAATAAAATTTTCTTCTTTTTTATATTTTAATACGGTAATCATTCATCTGTACATATCCACCCATCAATTCATCGATTAGTTCATTGTAATGCCTTGTTACAGATTAAGAGATTTTAGACACGAGAATAATTTCCCGCAATAAATCCGAGACTCGATACACATCCGTCCATCCCTTGAACGTTTAAATATCTAAAGCCGAAATAAAGTTATTCGTTAGTATTTTTAACCATCATAATTGATATTCGTTATTATACGTGTATAAAAGTTCAAAATTAGAAACGTTTTTTAAACAAACATTCAACCCAACTCTACAATCTTACTGCACTACCATTTACTGCAGGGAAATTTAAAATCGTCTATGAAAGATTATCAAATCGATTTGGTGGTCAACGTCGGACCTAAATAACGCTGATCTCCGATAAAACGACTCCTTCCACTTTTAGCAGTAAGTTAAACTACCGAATCGTATCATAAGTAATATTAGATATTTCGCAATTAGGGATCGATTAAAATATTAAACTGACGTTTAAAAAATCTAAGTGTCGATCTTACAACTAACTTTTAAAGCGTTTATTTTGAAACTTAATTTCTAATCAATAAGGCCACGCAGCAGCTTCTGCTGTTGCAAGAATGGGCAGGCTCATCCGGAGAAGTAACATTCATAAAAGACTAGCGTGAAGTGGATGTATTATTTGCGCCCAGTCTGTTTAAGGTAGCTGAGGCCCATTTAATGGTTGGCAATGCATCTGCAGCCTGTCAGGTGCTGTAGATGTCCAAAGGCGGGGGCAATCTCTTTTAACATCGGGTTAACCACTGCTCGTTTGTCAACTTTCACATAATAAAAAAACTTTATGGCATATACTCGTAAGAACGTTTTAATATTTCGCGTTCCATATAACGTTAAAGTTGCGGCTTAATGAATATTAGGAGCCGACGGCGATAGCCATTGCCTCAACAACAATGCAGGCATAAACCCTATAATCCGTCAAAACAAACGGGCAAATGATGCACGCCACTACGCAGCTCCGACCCTTCGGATGTTTGGAACCTTGGGAAAACCGCCAAGTGTATTAACAACGATCCGAAACGTGATCATATGCGGTTCATGCTTTACCAGTGTTTACACAAATCAATCGGTGCATTCACGCACTTAAAGTTCTACCCGTTTTCTCGAACGTTTTCTCGCGACTAATAGCGGAGTTATTGGAAAATTAAAAGCATTTGTGTATAGACATAAGTATGGACGTACTAATGTAACACAAAATTTGATATCCTGCAAAATTCAATTTAGTTGAAAACCTATACCTTTAATATTGATCTGGAACGTTCACGAAATTCTGAATGTTCAATATTGGATTAGCTGACTAAGAGCATTAAATTACCTATAACATTCGAAAAATCAATTGTTGTCGTGTCGTGATTTAAACCAGAAAGCTATTTTCCTGACAGTGCCAATTGACGATACTAAAGGGATTGCAGATGCGTTGATAATCTATAAAAGGCTATCTTTGATTCACTTATTAAAAGAATAATCGTACTGGAACTCTGCTCCAAACCTATTTAAGGCCTTGTTCCAGTCTAGTAGACTAATACATCGTGGTGCAAAAGCTGCCGTTTGGCTTTTCTGCAATAAAAATAACTCGTTGTCATCTTTAAGGCCAAAATCTTAACTTTCTTTGCGTAAAATACTACAAATATACAAAATTATATCAGCAGTTATTAAAGTTTTTTCTGATGAATATGAAATTAAATTAAAGATTCAGACAAAGGCGAAAATTAAGAGCTGAAAAGCAATATTTCTAAATTGTGTCATCGTTTCCATTACGCAAGAAAGGCAAAACTGCAATTCTAAGTGCAAACGCACCGGCCGCAGCGGATAGGTGCTTCCGTACTCGATTATCTTGAAATGCGAACCTCCGAAGTGATACTGAGCACCTAGCGCCATGGCAACTGAGCCACGCATCCAATTACGCCTTATATCATATAAAAGATCGTTTTACGGACGCGAACTAAAGCTACGTTTACAGGAACAATGGCTGATTCAGGTGATAAGCAATCTGAACGCGCAACGCCACTTACCAGGGATGTCCTGACTTGATGCAATAAGACACTGCTGTAAACTGAATCGCGGTGTTACAATTTAAAATGGTGAACTGAATGTGATCAATGAATATCTCAGCTTAACCTTGGCTTGTAAGAAATCAACTTTGGCATAGCGCCCCCGAGATTTGCACATTAATTCTGGAAACTCGATTCGTACTCTGCGCCGATCTCCGGCGGCCTACGTGGAAGCACTGGTGTTATTGGAAGTTAACGAGATATAACATTATTTTTATTAACATCTAC